GGATTAGGCGCCTAGACCACTAGGCTATGAGACCCTAACCCCCAAAAAAATAATTTAATTACAGTAAAAAAAAGATAAAAAAGCCAATATAAATTATAATTTAATATATGTATTTATTTATAAAAATAAATTAATTTATATAAATTAAAATCAAAAAACATTAAAAAATACAGTATGATTAAAAAAAAATTAAAATTAAAATAAATTAAAACTAATTAAAATAAACTAAATAAAAAATTAAAAAATAATTAGAATAAATTAACATAAACTAAAAAAAATTAAATAATAATTTAAAAAATATTAATTTTAAAAAAAATAATTAAAATAATTTAAAAAAAAATTTAAAAAAATTAAATTAAAAAATTAAAATTAACAAATATACAAATTAATTTAAAAAAAATATAAAAATATTATTTTTTAAAAAAATAATTAATATAATTATTTAAAAAAAACTATGTAAAATAAAATAAAAAAATACAAAAAAAATAAAAATAAATCAATAAAAAATTAATAAAAAAATAAATAAATTAAAATTAATTTAAAAAAATTAAAAAAAAGTTAAAATATAAATATATATATATATACAATAAAATAAAATTAAAAAAATGAAATAATAAATTTTTTTAAAAAAAATTATATTAATTTAGATTATTAAACCCAATTTAAGTTATTAAGTTTATTTGAAACTATATTAGATTATATTAAGTCTATTTAAACCCATGTGGTTTATTTAAATCTATGTAAGTCTATTTAAATTTATAATAGGTTTATTTAACTTATACTAGGCTATTTAAATCTAAGTTGGGCCTATTTGAACCCAAGTTAAGCTAAAACAGATTTATTTAAATCTAAAATCCCTAAAATCCTGGGCCTAAGGACTAATATATTCGAGACCTAAGAATTAGAAAAAAATTAAAAACTAGAACCCGAGCAACGCCGGGTCCTACGTGCTAGTTCTTTGTATAAATAGTTTAATGTTTTGTCAAAAAATATATGTTATGTAAGTATCTTCGTTATAATTAAATTATCGTTTTGTTAATAAAATTTTTAAAAATCCTATATTGAAAATTTTATTGGTAAATTCACAATTCTCCACTATATTGGGAGTTCACAATTATAAGAATGACTTATATACTTTTTTTTGTAGACATACATTTCAAAAAAAAAAAAATTATTATTTACCAGATTCAACAGATTTTATTGGATAGTTTATGACGGGTGTAAAAATCTAGCAGATTGAGCTAAAAAATAGTCGGATATCCACGGATCCAAACACTACAGCCTATTTAATTGCAAATGCCCCTCTTGTAAGATTATAAAATTACGCATATAAAAAGTTGAGCTACGGCACATAATTAAGTTCTGGTCTGGTATAGCTATATTGACTAATCATTACATACGTCTTTTACGCAATTCTTAATTCAGAAAATTATTTTTCAATGTACAACAATAATACGCAATCATGCATTTATTGTTTCATTATATAAAGTCAGAATGAATTTTGTGCATATATGCACGATGCATCCAAAATTCATACTTTATTAAAATGACATTAAAATTCTTAGAAAACTTTCAAATCTTGAAGTTCTTGACAACAAGAAGATTTTAATAGTCATCAATGTTGTTAAAACCTCAAGTACAAAGATATTTCGAGCACTTGCAGTAATTTTAGGATACGGATCATTATATTTTCTTAATGAATTGATGAATATTAGTAAAAATGAGAATAATATTAAAACACAATTTAAAAAATGGTCATTTTGAAATTATTATCAAGTAAGTTATTTTATATAATCAATATTTTATATAATTCATAATTTACAGTATTACATTACAAGAAATCTAAAATATACATAAATTTTATGCAGATATATGTATGGAGGATAACTTGCTTGAAAACATGATGCAATATTTATTTTTGAGCTTATGCTTATTCTTACAAATTTCTTTTTGATGCTCATTTGCTTCGTTCACGGTTTAATCATATTTATCAAAAAGTTTCCAGGATCATAAGCTTCAAAATACTAATTATATTGTGTAAAATATCCTAATAAGATTTTTGATTCTGAAGAATTCTTTACACTTCAAGGAAACAACTGAAAGAAGTAAAAATTTGGAATTATGGGGATTGCACAAAATCTCGTCTTCCATCCGATCCTGAAGACTGGTCACTTATTGCTTTAAGGACTACTTTACAAAATTGTTTACCTCATATTTGTTATTTTCAAATGTCTGATAAAGATATTATTAATAATATACAACCTTAAAAACAAATTCTTGATAAAAAACTTTGGAAAATATTGTGAAAAAATATATGACAAATGAACCTATATCTTCTACCATTCTTCTACTGTTCTTCCACCTCGAAAAATTTTAAAACCAACATTACCAACTAGAATTTTTAAATGTTATTAATGAAGCACATGCAGCGGAAAATGCTTTAAGGATTGATAAAAAAGATAATGCATAATTAGTAATAGATAATCTATACGAAGTAGAGAATGTTTCATTCCTGATTCATTTTGGAAGTTATGCGATAAACAGACTCATCTTGTCGTAGTTATGAAAGTTAAGAGCACTGATGAAATTCTTGGTAGATATAATTCGATTGGTTGGAATAGTCAATAAAATAAGCAACTTAGAAATTGCAATGATAGCTTTATTTTTTCATTGAAAAATGGAGATATTCAAAATTCGATTTTTTTTTAAGTCGTGTGAAAAAACCAGAAAGCGATTATTGTGGTTTTAATTATGTTCCAACCTTTGGTGCATCTTGGTTTGTCATGGAAGATAATTTGATGAACTTGAAAATTGTTGGACTAGTAAAACGAGTGCATATGAAAACTGATTAGAAATTTAGTTAAATACATCTTTGTATATGACTATGACATTGAAGAAGAGTGTGGTGTGTCATATTTTCAGTAGAAGAATATGAAATATTTCAAATTAGTGAAAAGTACTAAAAATTTAAATTGTTTTTATTAAGCGATTCGAATAATATTAAAATCTTAAGTGAAGATTGATCTAAGAGAATTTTATTGCTTTAAAGCCTGTTTACAAAATTGTTTACCTCATATCTGTTATCTTCAAATGACAGGTAATGACATTATTGATAACACGCAACTTTATCAACAAACTCTTGAGAAAAACTTTGGAGAGATATCATGAAAAAGTATATGGCAAACGAACCAATATCTTCGACTATTCTTTCCCCTCAAATAATTTTAAAGTAAAAATTACTGACTAAAATAGGTGAATCATTTTCAACTTTATTAATGAAGCATATGCGGTTGAAGATGCGGTTGAAGTTGTCTCGTGGATTTATATAAAAGATTGATACACGTTTAGTACCGGATCGTGGAAGTAGAGGTGGTTTTATTGCTATTTCTTTTTGGAATTTATGCGATAAGCAAACTCATCTTGTAGTTATGAAGGTTAAGGGGCTGATAAAATTATAGGTGGATATAATCCTATTGGCTGGGATAAGCAATATTATTCTCAATATACAGATATAGGAATTGTAAAGAGATGTTTTATTTTTCCATTGAATGTGACAATATTTCAAATTCATAATTATTATTGCTCGATCGTAGACTTTATTGCTATGCAATGAAAAAACATATGGGAAAAGGTCCGCTATCATACACTCCTAACTATTCCTAGCTAATTCGGGGATAGCTTAACCTTTCGATTCAAGTCCGAAACGATCAAGCTAACCAAGACAACAAAACACTATCAACCGTTCCTAAATATATCTCACACTTAATCTTGATATAACTACACTCCTATCACAACACTAGGTCAACAATACAAGAAGGAGGAACTTCATATTCAAATAGCGATTAGCTTGAAAATATTGTACACTTCTTCTTGAACTGGTCCTTGCACCGCTCTTGCAGCCTCGGAGCCAACTTATTCAAATAACAGTGTGCTAGGCTTTACAGTGGTCATTGTGCTATTTCAAGCCGCTGATCCACGTGATAAAGGGTGGGAAGGGTGGGCTGATAGAGCCAGCCTATACCAAGGCGAGCGATAGCGAACAGAAGAATAACAAACATCTACCCGGCATACAGGTCTTAAATACCTCTAGCCCAGTAACGCACTCCCATCCAAAGCACATGCATAAACATACAATTACAACATACTAACGAAAACAATTATTTATTTCCTTTTAAAGAAATACATTTAAGACAAAAATAATTTTCCACAAACTATACTCATTACGATACATAATGTTATTATGATGATCTACATGTGATCTGCAATAAAGTCTCCTGACCTCGCAATAATGAATGCTTGTTGACAAGCTTATCATTATTATTGCTCTATCATAGACTTTATTGCTATGCAATGAAAAAACATATGGGAAACAAAAAGAGGATTGAAATTAGCAAAAACCCATCTTTCTAGAAATTTGCAATTTTGCTGTACCAACTGAACGTAAATATAACATAACTGCTTTGCTGTCCCATCCTCCTATGGCACGGATCTGTGTTAGCGACAGCCCCGCCTCCATTGCAGCAGTTGCACCACCTATTTTAATACTGTGGGCTATAAATCTTCCTTGCACCTTTGCATTTTCTGCAATTCTTTTAACAATAGAACTAACTGCTCCCACAGTTAACTGCTTCCCTTGTTTAGATAGAAAAAGAGGACTATTATCTGCAGTTTTAGGCCTTACTAACATATACTTCTTTAATAATCTAACCGGGCAGTAATAACTGGTTAAGAATTCTATAGAGATAAACCTCCCATTAGCAAACTGATCTGTCTTTGAAGAACTTATTCAGATCCAGCAAAGCTTCTCTTCAAATTTGATATCTCGAACTTTAAGGTTATACAATTCACCAGGCTGCCTCATAATTCTTAAACCTAGGGCCACCAGTGCAGCATCTCAGAACCAAAACTCTTTCTGTACATAAAGTGGCTTCTTATTAACAAACCACTTTAAAGCAAAAACTGGCAAGGGATCGCGAGGCTATTTAGGTTCTTTATCCTTTTTATATTTCTTTATAGACTCTTCTAACCCAATACTCTTTAGAAGGATCTGGGAGCTGAGCTTCTAAGTGACTTCTGGACACTGCTGCTAATATATCAGCACAAACTGCAAACAAATAGGTAAGATCAAGCCAGACAATAAATGAAACAAGAGTATCTACCTCAGAAGGTAAAGATATCAAACTCATGATCTTACAATATTTCTTAAACAATTCCTATGCCTTAAATAAATGCTGGTTTCAGTTATTTGATACAGCACCTCTTTCTAAGGCCCGTGCTTTGCTAACTAACATACTTACTAACTCACTCTTACTGCCAGGAACTGCCAACTTAGGTTTTTCCAAGGCTTTACTACTCCTGAACAGCCTCTTATGAAAGTGATTTGAACTGGGGGCAAAACTACATAATCTACATGTATATGCATTAGAATTGGCCACCACTCTGCTGAGACACACTTGGGAACTATTATTGTAGCTGCTGTCTTTTCCTCTATTATGTGCTGTAGAACCTGATAGATTAGAGCCAGTAGAGGACATATATAATTGTTTTCCTTGGACCAGTCCTGGGCAAAGCAATTTATACCTTCAGTATTGGGGCTATACTTGCTGGCAAAATCTGGACAAATCCCAAATTCAAAAAAAATAATTGCTATTTGTAAATAATTAAATCAAAAAAGTAGTCTTAATATTTTGTAAATATATTATTTATAGCAATAAAAATATCTACTATTTGTTTAAATAAAAATTATTAATAAAGTCTTTGTGAAATTAATTTGGGATGAATTTGGGATTTGGACACGGACAAATCCCAAATATAGTAATTTGGAATTTTGCCAACATGTATAGTTGGGGCAGTATAATCTGCTGTTGAAACAGACCAGTTTTGAATTCTAATGGTCTGCCATACAATCTATTGAGTGAGGTCCCTATTTTTATTCTAATAGGTTGAAAATTGATTGGCTTAGATACTAATCGTTTGTATTTATAAATATAGTTAGCTCGTCTGCCAGATTTAAAGCTTAAGGAATCCAAAAAACTTTACTAATCCAAATATCGTTCTTGTCCAATACCTTTTATAGTCTTCAGAGCAGATCTTTTTTCAAGGAAGTCTGCCTTCCTTTATTACTGTACTAATAGCACTCTGATTGTCTATATGCAAGTCTATTCAAAAATACTTCAAAAGGTCTGCAAAAAAGGTTATTCCTAGAATTACTGCTTCTGCTTCTAATTGAATAATCTTCCTGTAAGACTTTTTTGATTTCCAATTTCTGAATGCCTGGTGATCTTCCAATATAGCTAACCACCCAACTGTTGAAGCATCGACAAAAACTTGCTTTACTTTTGATAGCTTCCAAGCTAGATATCCATTTTGTTTTCTTAAATTTTGAGCTACCCACTTTGCATCTTCTCTGGCTTGCTCTGTTAGATCTACTCACGAATCTCATTGCCAAAAACCTCTGTTTGCAGTATCTATAATGAAATAAAATTCCAGACAACAAACTTTTGCATGAGCAAAGGCCCTGTTCAAAGATTGAATCTTTTTTGCCATTGCTGCTAATTCTCATGCTGAAATTCTCTTTTTCTCTGCCAATTTTTGCAATAACTTTTCTGTTACTACAACCTTTTTTTCTGGTACTATCATCTGAGCTTTTACTGTATCTATAATCAGACCAAAAAATTTTACTTACTGAGATAGCACCCACTGACTCTTTGTAGGTTCTCTTATTAACTCGCAATTTTTCAAGTCTGTTAATATTATTTAATCTCTTATTGCAATCAAGGTATCTATTGAGAGATGTGCTAGCCAAAAATCATCTAAATAATTTCACAAAACAGTTCTAGAGATCTCCAATAACCTACTATAGCTCTTATAACCTTTGAGAAAATCCAAACTGCCTGTGATAGGCCAAAAGGAAGCACTCTGTAGTAGTACCAATTCTCTAATATCCTGAATCCAAGGAAGCAATGAGTGTTCGCTCTTATCATTATGTGATAGTACCCATCCTTGAAATCCCATATGATAATGTATCAACCCTTGCCCACTATACGGAGTAGTCTACCTAAACCTTCTAGCTTTACTTTTTTCTCTAGCAGAGTAGTGTTTAAACGTCTTAAATCTATTACTAACCAACATTTTTTAGGGCCTTTCTTGGGCACCAGAAAAACTGGGCTCACTTCTAAAAGAAAATTGGGTCTTCTTACTTGGTTCTCTAAACACTTTATTGCTAAAAAATCTAAAAGATGATTCAACTCTTTTTGTACTCACTCTACTTGCTCGCTTGACAGGATATACTGATTTGAAACTGGCTGTAGTGCAAGCACCAATGCCTTTCATGAAAACAATAGAACTCCATTTACCAACCAATTCATAACTACCAGAGAAGGATTTATCTTGTGATGCCAATAACTTAATGCCTCTACTGACTGCATTCTTCCTACTACTAATTCCTGAAATGCCAACTTCACATTGATTATAGGTTCTTCTAAAATCAAGGCCCAAGTGTGATCAAACTTCATTTTTGGGCTTTGAAAAGGCTCTTAAATCTAAGGATGGGCAGCTTGTGGCAATGTGACCAACACCTCTACAGTTGAAGCAGGTAATTGCCTCTTGATGTCTTGCAAAGCTATATCTTTCTCTGCCATGAAAGGAATAAAACCCTTTGTTTTTTCTTTTATTTCTCTTATAAGACTCTCCTTTCTCAGAGTTTGATGAAGGAGGAGAAAACCTTTTTCTCTTATGCTAGTTGCTACAAAACCTACTATTGTAGTTCTAGCTACTAAACTTGGGTACTAATACAACAAGGAGAATATGTTCTTTATATTTCTCTATCATATTATTATTATTCCTAACTATTTGTAATGCAGCACTCCAACCCCTATTATTAGCTAATCTTAGCATTACTGCACGTGTCTTTACATCTTCCCAAACTCCTGCAAATTTCTTTCTAAAAAAAACTAGTAACCCTTTAATTGCTTTATCTAAATGCCTACTAGCCTTAGCCAAGAAATCATACTCATGTTGGTTATGTGCCTTAGACAAACTAAATTTAGGCCATTTTTCATCCAACAAATCACCCTTTTCAATCTCTTGATACAAGGCAGAAAAACTCTTGTCCATCTTCTTTTCAATACTTTCCAAGGCTAACAGAAAAATGTCAACCAGAACTGACTCAATTTTTTCCTTTTTCTGAAAATATGCGGCCAGAATATCTCTAAAAGCATTATTTGCTTCTTGAGATGTAGCATCCAAATCATCACCTGCTAGGTCAGTATCTCTCTTCTCTGTAATGATACCACCATCTCATTTATTTTTCTCCACCTAGGGGCCCCAACAAAGCCCTCTGAAACATTGTTGCTTCTTTCTAGAGAAGTGTCCGGTAACTTTCTCATTCTTTTCTCAAAAAACACATGCAGTTTCTCATTCAACTCTTTCTTGTTTCTACCCACAGACAGCCTACAAGACGTACACAAATCTTTCAATTTGTTCAAGGTCAACTTGGTCCAGCTTACAACTAATATCGTCTTAAAAAACAGTGAAGATAATTTATAAACTTGTTAAAAAACTGATTATTATTATACAGTTAGATTTCTCTAAGTGCACACCCTTGGAACCACACTTTAATAATGTACATATAGAAAATAATAAGAAAATGTGCATTTATGGAGGTCAAGTATATATTTGGGCCAGCACTTGAGCATGTATTTAGAGAGGGTGTGCACTTATAGTGGGTGCACTTAGAGAGATCTAACTATAATAACCTTAAAAGAATATAAAATTTTTATTTTTTTATGTAAGGTATGATAATGATAGAGCCAGCCTATACCAAGGTGAGCGATAGCAAATAGAAGAATAACAAACATCTACCTAGTATACAGGTCTTAAATATCTCTAGCCCAGTAATCCCAAAGTACATGCATAAATATACAATTACAACATATTAACGAAAACAATTATTTATTTCCTTTTAAAGAAATACATTTAAGACAAACATAATTTTTCCACAAACCAAACTATACTCATTACAATATATAATGTCATTATGATGATCTACATGTGATCCGCAATAAAGTCTCCTGACCTCGCAATAATGAATACTTTGTCACTTTGTTAACAAGCTTATCAAAAATTTAAAACGGTTTGTATTAATTCATATAAATACATTATTTAGATTGCATATAGATTTTATAAACTGATTAAATAAGAATATTTTAAAACTGTAAAATGTTGAATAATTGTATTAGTTAATTCTTTTAATTATTTTACAATAAACTTTTATAATGAATTATGAATATAGTGATTTAAAAAATTTAAAAATTTTATTTAGTTCGCTATAAGAGTAATAATTTATTAAGGCATGAAACACACTAAATTTGTATTAAACATTTTTTTATAACCAATACCATCAGTTCATAATGCTGTAAAGTACATTATACATATTTAAGATAGTTTTATAATGCAATTGTGCAAAATTAGAAATGAAAACATTTAATCTGAGGTTGGATAATCAGATATTGTAGGAAAATAGGTAATAAATTAACTATGAATTTACAACATAATATGACTAAAATTTAAGCAGTTTATGCATATAAATTAAATAAATACGAATACATGTTAATTTCATATTAAATAAACATGTGAATGAAAATTGTTCAACCATATTATTTTCATGTCATAAATATTTTTGTTTTATTTAAAAAAGATATTTTTAAAAATTCTGTAAATTTTTTGCTATAATTGTGTTAAAGCACGCACATATAATAAAATTATGTTTATTAATTTAACATTTAAATAAGCTATTCAACTTTATAAATTTCATGAATATTTTATTATATATTGCGGTATAAAATAAAATTGTTAAGCATCCAAAAAATAAGATTTAAATTTCATAAATATTTACTCTAATTTTATTTTATTCACGATAGTGTAGTCTGTTTATAGAACATTAATTTATCCAAGTATTTGATTAATATAAAATTATTATATCTAAATATAAGTTTCTTATAAAGTGAAATTTAAGGACGAATAGATTGAGATAAAAAGTTTAATAATCATGAATTAAATATGAAATAGGCCAATTTATTTCTTACTATTTTATTCAAAATCGCTGTTCAATTGTATGATTTTTTTATTATGACAATATTATAACCTCTATTAATATGAATATTTATTTAGATGTATAATTTCATTATACATACAAAGTATAAAAAAACATATATGATAACTTCTTTTTATAATAAAGGGATTGGAGTTAATCACTTTTTATAAAAATGAATTTAGTTATTCCATATTTGATTACACAATTAACAACAGTATCTCAGTTAACCCTTTATTATTTTTAATATATAATTAGCATATATTAAAATTGTACAATTAAACAATGCAAATTATAAAATAGACTTATATTGAAGGTAGGTGAATTTCAATCTTAAATTTTCTACTTGGAAAAAGATCAATGAGCCATTGTTTATCTTGAGGGGAGATTCACTGGATATTACTATATTTTGATTGTATCTCTTAATTTTGGTACTAAAATTTCTTGAACTAATGATTCTAGATGTGCTTAAACTTATTTCAAAACAATCACTTAAATATAAAAATATTAAATTAAAATTTGGTTTATAAATCAAAAACTAAACCAAAATTTATTTAGTATAAATAAATTTCTTGAACTTTATATGGAATAAATAATGCTATATCAATAAGATTTTCATTATTTTCACTTAACTCAACATGTTGAGAAGGCTGATCAGATATTTCATTTAATGGTCCCGATATCTTAATTTGAGATGATCTTTCTTCTGACAATTGTAAAGTCAATTGTCTAGTTTGGAATATACTTGCTTGTGAAGGTGATCTTGGTGGCAACCTTTAGCTTATTTAAAGCTTCTAATAGGTGTGATTGCAGAGATACTCTAGTTTGAGGTAATTGTGGCAATGACCTTCTAGTTTGAGGTAATTGTGGTGGTGACCTTTTAGGAATAACTCATTGAGATATTTGCTCTAATTGTGCTAACTCCTAGTTTATATTACAAAAAAATTACAAATTAAAATAATTAAAAATTAATAAATATACTCAATCAAATATATACTTACTTGATTATAATTTACTAATGTCTCTAAGTTTAGATAAAAGGATGCTTTAAATATTACTACATTATTTGTATTTTGTAGACTTGAATGTGATATATCTTTCATGTTAATAAAAAAATTATGAGCTTTGGCTACAGAATTGAAATGTACATAGCCAATTCTAAAGAAAATTACATATCAAATTTATTAATTATTAACAATAAAAAAAAAAACAATATAATATAAAAAATATATTTACTGATAACTTCTTCTTTTGGCAACATGAACAAAATTATATGAACATATTGATCTTAACTACTTCTCAATTTCATTATAAAAAAAATCATATATATCATTGTCTTCAAAGGTTACAGATAAAGAAGGCTTGTTATAACAAGGGCAATGTAGGTAATTTGGTAGGTCTACAAATAATAAACCTTTATAAATAAATATTTAAGAAAAAGTTCAAGAACTTTTTTAGAGAGGTCAATGTAAATAAGGTTACCATAATGCATTTTTGATATGGTTTTTTATTTTATAAAAAGTGTATCTTTAAAAAAAAAACAAAAAAACCATGAATATATATATATATATATATTCAGTTTTTTTCAAAAAGTGAATAGTTAAGGTTTGTTTCAATATATTCAAATTATCAGTGTGAGAAAAAAATGATTCAAAACATTCAAATTTTCGTGTGAATATTTTAGAAAAAATTTCAAAACATTCAAATTTTTAAAAAATTCACACTTAATTAAATATTTCAATTTGTTACCATGAATTTTTTATGCATTGTCGTTTACACTATAGAATATATATTATAGCGGTTTGCAAAAAGGTGTGACCCTGTGATTTCGTGATGATGATAGCAGAAAAATTTCAGAGATTTTAATTCCCTATTGATCATAATTTTCAATCAATAACATCTATATTTTATTTGAAATCTTT